TTAGGCGGAAACAAATTCGGGAGCTTGAAACTGCTAGAAACAATGTGACAAAATTCATAAAACTGGAGATCCTCTTTTTAGAATCAAGGCACATAATAAGGCCCATCTGTCACATGATCCTTACCTGGGCCCTGCTCCTGTCCGCCGTCGGTGGTCATTGCCCTGGCCTGGATGTCTCCCGCATGACTGACTGCGAGCTGATCGTGTGTCTACTTTGTTGCCTACTTTTGGATGAGCGTTACTTCTACATGGACACACTACACGGACACTTCATTGCCCATCATGCAACGTACGCGACTTGATCTACTTTTGTGTGTAGGCAGGGGAGTAGCCGGAGCCTTGCCAAGGGGGAACATAGGGTTGACAAAAACCCATCTTATGGTGACCCCCCCCCCCCCCCAAATCCCCGGATATGTTTCACTTGTTGACAAGTGACACGGTTTTCTTCCTTTTATTGTTGTTTTTACCTTGTAACCAGAACAGAAACCAGGAGCTACCGTGAGCCCAATTCTGTTTGCATTTTGAGGTCAAGAAGCTGCAGAAATCAGGCGTTGAATGATTGCATGGAAGAAACCACCGGCGCTCTTAATTTACAATGGTTAGCTGACTCTTTCTAGACCGATAGAATTCAGAAGCTTTGTCAATTTTTTTTCTGGGTTCTACAGGCATTGAGGACATCGCAAAGGTAGATTGTGGATCGGTATGTTTGATCAAAATTTGAAGACAAGAATTTAATTGCAAGTCGAGTGGTCAACAATGTGTATTAGCATGGCCAAGCCATGCTTGCCTGAAAATGCTCACTATTCAGTCAGAATCGATTAGTGATACAACTCATGTAACGTGTTCTTTAACATGCTCGCTCGCAAATCTTAGCAACAAAACCCTCGACACCAGGCGTTGCAGTCTCCATAGTCCGCGTAGCGTTAACTCAGTAGCTAACATTTAGCCGTGGCTCGCCGGTGGACGAAAATGATGACACTTCTGAAATGATTACCTTTAAACACTTCAATCAACTTGTTATGCAAGTTATGTGGCGTAATTTTGAGCATGCGCGCTCAAAAATGTTAGAAACACAAGCCTCGACCCCAGGCGTTGCAGTCTTCGTAGGCCGCGCATTGTCGGCTTGGCAGCTAATATTAAGTTGTGGCCAACGGGTGGGCGAAAATGACGACGCTCCTGATAAAGTATCCTTGGGCGCTTCACGACATCAGATCTTGTATTTAGAAGGCAGTATGAGGGCATATTTCACGCGTGCAATTTTTAGATATATGAAAAGAACGGATTGGCCCCTAAAGCACCGCGAAGTGCGGCTGTAATCTGGTGTTTGAACTGGAAAAGTGAAAGTAAAATCTCTATTTTTCGTGTTTCCGCAGCTATTTATCTGTCCAGAAGACAGATTAACACGGCGCCCGCCGTCTGGTGGCACTTGCAGTGGCCGAAACTTATCGGTTTTACGGAAGTTGCAACCTAGACCATTGCTGTCCTTGCTCTCGAGGTTGCGGACGGGCATGTTGGAGCCTTTTCATGTAGTTTGCTTCAATAATGCATTCTGAAAGAAACGAACGTTCCCAGGCAAACATGGCATGATCTTGCTCGTTTTTTCCAAATTCATTTCGACCCGTGTTTTTCTACAATAATGAGAGCCCCACTCTTCTCAACGATAATGAGACATCTTATTCCCTTCCGGGCAAGGGGACTCTTCCTTAGAATACCAGGGGTACATTACCGTTTCCGGTCAAGGGCTAAAGAGCCATTCCGTCCCATCGCGAAGTGTCCTCTGGCTATCATTCTGGTGGCACGGGGCGGGATCTCATAGTCGATCCGGAGGTCATTAGAAGGATATATCATATCACATTGTGCCCATCCCTGACACGGGAGGCCTTCTGATCCGCGCAGTTAGCCCCGGATCAGCACAGGGACCCTCATTGACGCAACAAGATCCCTGATCACCGCAGGCAGTCCGATAATTTTCACATAGACTCCAGTTCCATGTTTTTCTGTTCTTCAGAGACATTGGGCACTCCCTGACTGTAGATTGCAGATGAAATGGGGTTCATAACATGCATTAACATGGCTAGGCCATGTTCGTCTTATAATGCTCAAGATCCTGTCAGAGCTGATCGCTGATAAGAAAGCTACGTAATATGGTGCTGAGCATGCGTGCTCGCAAGACATAGCAATAACAGGCTCGACGCCCGGCGTTGCAGTCTCCAGGCCATGCGGCGTCGGTCTTGCGGCTGTGACATTAAGTGATGGCCAGTGAGCAAACAAAAAAGATGACGCATCTTAAGGGACATGGCTGGTGAACTAGGTAAATCGGCATGCATGTTTAATGTGGTGCAAAAGTAAGCCGAATGCAGCCTTAATCTGAAAAGTGGGGGGAGAGGCAGTTAACATTGCTGGCCCCCCACCTTCAAAAGTGGGGGAGGGGCGCGGCCCCCTGCCGCCCCCCCCCCCTCCCCCCTGTTCCTACGCCCATGCTCACAATCCGATCAAACCATTCAAGGTCCACAGCAGACTTGATGGCGAAAGTTAAGCGTGCCGCAATACTCGGCACGTCCTGCCCTCTGACGTCACCTGACCTTCAACGTGGCCGCCGCCAAGCCGCCGCATTTCTGAATTCTGGGAATGCGACGCTGTGACGTCATTGTGGGACTAAATCACATGGCACCAACACTACGGCGGCGGGAAAGCGGTCTTCTTTGCGGGCTGGTTAGAACATAAATATTTCCATAAACAGGAGTTCTTTCGGCCTGGGATATTAAATGAAACATTCTCAGCTGGGAAATGGCATTGGCTTGCGCTGGGGCTGCAAAATTATTGCTGGAATGCGCTTCCAGCATGCTCCCGGCAGAGAGATGAGTGACCCATTCTCCATTCTCCAGTGATATATTCCGAATATTTTTAGCTGGAAGTGCTCAGAAACAATCCGTGTAAAAAGCACAACATACAACAACAACAACATAAGGTGGGGGTGAGAAACAGCGGGCCAGACGGGCTCGCAACACCCTTGGGCGCGCATTGAGAAGTGGGAATGCACATCCTATAGCCTTCGGAGGGGCGTTGCCAGGGTGAATGCATGGTTAGCCTGCCCTAATGTGGGTAGTGACTAGTGAACTCCGGATGGCGTAAATGTAGCGCGCGCTATTTCAGTTCAAGATAGCAGATTTTCCTGTAAAATAGGACGATTTCTGGCAAGTTTTGCAAATTGTGGCAGTCAAAAAGTGGTGGCCCATATCTCAGCTAGGAAATAGTTTTGGGGATATATTAGAGCGGCCGTAGTATTACATATATATATATATATATATATATATATATATATATATATATATTCCCTGCTCGCTATTTTCACCTAACCCATCTGACATTATGGATGTGCAAATCAACCAGCGCTTAGGAAGATCATAGCACAATAACAGCAAAATTGTAGCACCTGTTCTCCTCTCATTTCCTTCTTTCCACATTTCATTCCATTTAGGTTTTGCAGTGATAGGATGCATATGCAATCTAAGCCGATCATTGAATGTAATATATTCATTACATATGATATACATTTTTACATAAACATTAATTTTACAAAAAAACATTGCATCTAAATATTCGGGCGCGTTGATTAGGACGAACATTGTGCGGGTGCTGGAGCTGGAAAACGTGGTTCAGTAGGATCTATTTTAAGAAGCAGATGCTATCATGGGTTTGTCTTTAGAGGGTTCGAGATGCAAAATGCGGAATATCTTTTCACAAAGCAGCATAATAAGGATGTACAACAGAATTGCAACCCAGTTTATTACCAAAATCTCAGTTTTTAAAGCTGTTACCGGGTTCTACCAACCCTTTCGAATTATCAACCAAAATACATCCTACGGGCTACCAAACTTTAGTGCCATGGTGACGTCACGTCCACGTAGCCTTTTACTCTAGCAGCCTTGGCCACTGCCACCCCCCGCAGGCCATATTTGCCAGGGAGCTCAGGGCGGACGCTGAGTCGGGAGCATGGGGACTAGGGGTGTGGGGCTTGAGCCTCCCGTTTTTCGGAAAATCTAACACTCGGGCTACAGGCGTTGACTGCAAAGCGGGCACCCCAATTACATGTCAACTCCAACCAGGTTTGAGGGAGGGGGTTGACAAAAATTTGGAGGAGCTAGAGTCCCCAGCTGAGTAAGAAACTCCACTTGGGGACTGCAGTCGTGCTAACCTGGAGACCAGCCCATAATCCTCACCTCTGCGTCATGCTGTATGGCTCTGCCCCGTGTCATATGTGCTCAGCTTCCAGAAACATCCGGAAGTGCCGGAGAAGTGAAGTTAACATTCTCCACGTGTTCCATTGATGTCATATGTACTACTCGTCGCTTTCCTGCTTCATGACAGTTATTTACGCCCACAAACGTCGAGCTTGCATGACAGAAGTAGCATTTGCGGTTTCATCGCCAGTCCATTGCAGGTTTCGTTTCAATTGTACACTTCCCAACCTTTAGCACGTCGAGCGTCTTGATCACTTGCTAAGCACCACTCGCTGGCCAGAAAACCTCCTGATCAACGCCAGCTGACTGTGTTTCAGACTGCTGCCGCTTCCCGTGAACGAGTCCACTGTCGTCGGCCTTGGTGACCAGCCTGTCCACCCCTGGCTTCATTGTAAACGGGTGTCAGGAGTGTTCCTTACTTCTGAATCGTGTTTTGGACAGTCCAGTTGTGTTTCCGTCGCTCTAGTGCCAGTTGCGCTCACCGTCATTAGTCACCACATCCCTTTTGGCCACTTGTTCTTTGCCTCACTTTGGAAAATACCGCCCGTCGGGGTTCAGTAACAAAAAAGCGCCTCTATAGAGACGAAAATGTGAAACAATAATGAATCCAAATCGCTGAGTCATACTCTGCGCTTGCTACTACCCACCTAGCTGAGACTGCGACACCGGCTCACTCCATCCTCCATCCTCCCCGCCATTCCCGCTGGGATGCCCCACGGTCACTCTGACGTGTGACACGCGCTCATACCTGTGCGGCAGGTTCGAGACCTCGAACGGCATCGCGCACGAGGAGGTGGGCCTGATGTTCGGCGGCCGGGAGAACAACACGGGCGTCATGGTCACCGAGGGTCGCGTCCAGTGGGATGCGCCTGGAGGCTTCCGCTTCGAGGTGCTCTGGCACGCCGACGAGAACGGCTATCAGCCCACCGTGAGTTCTGGGGGAGAGCTGACGAGAACGGCTACCAGCCCGCCGTGAGTTCTGGGGGAGAGCTGACGAGAATGGCTACCAGCCCACCGTGAGTTCTGGGGGAGAGCTGACGAGAATGGCTACCAGCCCACCGTGAGTTCTGGGGGAGAGCTGACGAGAACGGCTACCAGCCCACCGTGAGTTCTGGGGGAGAGCTGACGAGAACGGCTACCAGCCCACCGTGAGTTCTGGGGGAGAGCTGACGAGAACGGCTACCAGCCCACCGTGAGTTCTGGGGGAGAGCTGACGAGAACGGCTACCAGCCCACCGTGAGTTCTGGGGAGAACCGACGAGAATGGCTACCAGCCCACCGTGAGTTCTGGGGAGAACCGACGAGAATGGCTATCAGCCCACCGTGAGTTCTGGGGAGAACCGACGAGAACGGCTAACAGCCCATCGTGAGTTCTGGGGGAGAGCTGACGAGAATGGTTACCAGCCCGCCGTGAGTTCTGGGGAGAACCGACGAGAATGGCTGTCAGCCCACCGTGAGTTCTGGGGAGAACCGACGGGAACGGCTACCAGTTCACCGTGACTTCTGGAGAGAACCGACGAGAACGGCTACCAGCCCGCGTGAGTTCTGGAGAGAACCGACGAGAATGGCTACCAGCCCACCGTGAGTTCTGGGGAGCGGGCTGGCGCAGATCGACGGCCAGTATCAGGCAGGGATGGGAGTGAGGAATCATCGAGTTGTAGGACGATGACGGGTGAAAACTGATGGTGAGTTTTCAGGCGGGGACGGGTATGAGCCAGCAGTGGGTCGTGTGAGTAGAACGAATATAACCCACCAGAGCGTTGTAGGACGAGGACGTATGCAAGCCAAGAAACGCCACGTTGTGATGCGGGACGTGTAAAAACAAGCAGCGAGTAGCATGGGACGTAGCGTGACGTAAACCAACAGCGAGTCGTTTGCCTCGGGCGGGTACATGCCGACCGTGGGTTTTGGGGGAGAGGGAGGGAAGGACAAACATAAACTAACTGTGGTTTTTGGGAGACGGCCGAGCGTAAATCAACGTTATGCCGCTTGTAAACCCTAGCGACGACGGACTTGGCGGGCACGCCGATACGAGCAAACAGTGAGTTCTGAGACGAGACGGGTGCGAGGTGAAATGGGACGATGCATGACGTGGACGCGCGCAAGTCAGCGGTGGAATGTGCGAAAGGAACTGGGTGAAGTGGTGAGTTGTCTGGCGAGAATGGGCGGGCCAGCGGTGAGTTCTAGACAAGGATCTACACAACTCAGCGGTGAGATGTCGGACGCGGACGGGATGCGTGCGTCATCGGGATGCGCAGAGGACAATGGTGAGACAGTGACAACGGTTGACAGTCGCAAGCCAATGGCAAGATGTGAGTTGAGGTCGCGTGTCCACGGAGAGCTTTGAGAAGACACATACCCGCTCAGTACTGCAATCAAGAGCAGTAGTCGCGTAAGCGTCTAAAAGAAGTGTGGCACTCGAGGGAGTATTTAACCCGCGACCACCACTGGGGGGGGGGGGGGGGGGGGGGGGGGGGGGCTCGTGGACGTTCCATGTCACAACTCATCGCTGCTGGCTTGCATCCGTCCTTGTTCCCTTAACCCCTCGCTGGGTTTGGTATTGTTTATGTTTAGCCCCTTCCATCTGGAGTCGCGGTAGGTCAAATATTCCGAACGGTGCATGCTGAACATCCTGCATGCTCAGATTCCTCTGCTTAGTTTTTTGACGATCAGCAAAGCGATCAGTCATGACGTTGATATGACATATGATATGACATACAACATATGACGCATGATATGAGATGAGCTGACAGTTATGACATTGTAATAGACAGTCATTGGGTTAGTTAAATAGCTATGGATTATCTATGTCATAAGCCAACAGCTGGGAGATTCAGCTGCGGGTCTTCACACGTTGAAGCCAGCTGGCGTTTGGCCACCAATCGGAGACCGGCGCAGCGCGCATCCTTCCCATGTGCTGCCGTGCGCTCTGATCTCACTCAGGTGACCTGCCCCCTATCCTGCGACCTGACCCAAGGTGTTAAGATGGCTATAATAAATCCAGACATATTGCTACGGCGGCATAGAAGGTTTGGTCATTTATGGGTTAACTGAGTAATACATTTGTGAGTTGTGCGACGATTAATTCATATGATAATTTGGATATTTTTTTTAACTTTCTGCAATGCAGACATTCCGTAATTCTCCATATCGCTCCGCTACTCCCAGAAGTAAAAAAACTGCTTGGTTTGTGTGCACAGGCTAGAGTCCAGCTTCCTTGCGCTGCGTGTGAAGGCAATATACACCAAAACAACACAAGTTCCCTGAAATGGCTGACTTTATCTTTAATCTAAATTGCACATTTTGTATACGTCTTTCATGCCTGTTCGCGTCATGGCAAGAAAGAAAATCAAAATCTCGCGAACTCCGCTGCATGTGGGAAAGAGGTAGGTTCTCAAACCGACCTGCCAACTCCATCCGTCACAGTTCTTGACATATGTTTGTGATACTTATAAAGTTTCAAAACGAACTGCAGTTGAGTTAATTTTCTCACATATACGTACACATCAGCCCTCGATAAGTTGATCGCTTCATAGCCCAGCAATGTCTCATTGCAGGTTAATTCTGCGTCTAAATATTCCGTTCCTCCGCTGCTGCCCGGCCATGCGCCGGCTCCTCTACGATCACCGCTGCTGAGTTTACGATGGGCCAGAGCACCTTTTTGTTTTACTTCATTTTCGAAGTGAATATCTACTTCTTGCTCAAATCAAATGCATTTATGAAACCCGATGGATGCTTGGCGAAGGACGGAGTAACTCCTTACTTCAGATATCCTCGCAAATAGTATGATTTTGCGGGCGTTAAAGCAAGTAGTTCGCGCTCACTCTATGCAATCGGATTCGAAGTCAGAGCACATGAAGTTACTCCCCACGCCAGAATTGCACGTCATTCTCTCCTCATGAAACTGGTTGCTAACCTGAACATCGTGAC